GGGTTTGAACCGCCAGCCTTCTGGTTAGCAGTCAAGGGCTTTAGCCACTATGCTACCAGAGCTCCTAATTCAAGAAAACATTATACAATGCCTAGAGATGGAATTTTATTATTTCTCAGTTTGCTTTGGGATTTCCCTGATTACCTCATATACCAAATAGTGAAAGAGCATTACATTCCTATGTAACTTCCTGGCTGTCCTTATAACTCACATATACCAACACCCTCAGCTGCTCAAGACCCAATACTTTAAAATTTAACCACATGAGAATGACAGCTATTCAATGGGAAGTAACTGGAAATGCCCACTAAGAGACAGAATGCTGGGACCAACTTCTTCCATAAGTTTTTTAAAAAATCCATCAAACATTTAGTATTTTCATTTATATTATGGAGGTACTTTCATTTATATTTTAATGCTTTATTATCAGTACTCCCCTACATACCCACAAATTAAATTTTGCATAAAATATTAACATATCTTAAGGTTATCACCTATGTTGTTTAATACAAAAGCTATTAGAAATAGGTAGCTACTGAGCACAAGAAATTAGACTACTGTAAACTGAGATGTACTGTAAATGTATAATATAAAACAGATTTTGAATACTTTGAGTGAAAAAAATATTTCATTACAATTTTTATAATGATGACAGTTTTAAATAACAATGTCTTGGATATACTAGGTTAAATAACGTGTTAAAATTAATTTTAACTGGTTCTGCTCTACTTTTGTTGTGGCTACTAAACATTTTAAAAATACATATGTGGCCAGCATTATATTTTTACTGGGCAGTACAGTTATAAATACTTAATAGTAAAGAAAAATAGCAAAAACTCTCTAGACAAGCTGAGACACTAGAAATCTCCATTCATCCCTCATTCACTGTAAGTGATTTAACAGTTTTCTTAAAGGTATGCTTTCAAAGCCCAGATACATCCCTATAGATATTAATTTTCTTCCTTTTCTTAGGCCAAACCTTTGATTGTCAAACTCAATATATGTAAGAAATAAGAGCTTTATATACCAAAGCCCATGTACTTTTTGGATTCTTTAAGTAATATTCAAGGGCTATTTTGACTATACACGTTTAAGATGTGATTCTATTATATATCAACTTATAAATATCCCAAGAATTAGAAATAAATTTAACAATTAAATTTATCTAAGTGCAATGTCACCTTTTAAGGAGGATATTTTAAAATAAAATATTTATAAGGAATAATAAGGTTCTAAACATGCACGTATAATAATTCTTAGGTATGCTATTCAACAAGATATGCTATTACTTACCTTGGTGAATCGATTGATAATCTGGCCTACGGGATTCGTTTCAAAAAATTGAAGTGGGAGATGTAGCACATTATTTAACAGCTGAGAGTACAAGGTTCGAGAGGCAGCCAGGGATCCTCTAGTGAGCACATAGGCCCCAAAGCAGACAAAGAGACCTAAACACAAATTGTTATCGGGGTCATGATACCATCTTAAAGGAACTTTGTGTTTTAACTCCTGAAAGGCTGACTATAGTAGCATTTATGTTTTGAAATATATTTAAGATAGGTAGTTGTAAAGCAAAAAAGGAGACCTAGTGGGAGCTCTGGTAGCATAGTGGCTAAGACACTTGCCTGCTAACCAGACG